ATTATCGTGAATCTAAAATGCGAATTTCGGAAAATTATTTCTTAGGTGCATACGTAAGAGAATAATTTCTAACTCTTAAGGTCTGTTGTTGTAAYTTCATCCGACCTATGACGTCTTGTATGTGCTATCGTTTATATCGTCTAACACATATATGTTGAACAAAAAATAAAACATWCAAATAAGATTAGGATAATATATAAAATACTAAATTAGTTTAAATAAGTTTTATATATTTTTTTTCATTTAATATAATTACCACTATTATTATTTCAAATTTCAACATCTCATATTATTTCAAATCGAATTTTTCATTTTGTGGAGTCACAATTTTTCCGTCAACATCTTACTCTAAATGAACATATGACATAAAATAAATAGTTGTGCGCTTCTAAATGAAGAAAACGTCATTGAACATAGTTCCTTTGGTAATTGATAATGCCCTTTTCTTAAGTCTACTTTTAAGACTCAGTCATTTATTTTCTACATACCTAAGTGCTTTTAGAGAATTAGATCTGGTTCTTATGTTATTTGTTAGTCCACTTAAACAAACTAAGCACCATTTCTTATATACACATCAAAAAATATATCACACCACTATAAGTAGTAGGACTGGATTTGAGCGCGATTCCACGATCATTATATTATGTTACAAAACATTTCACAATCTGGACTTGTAACATATTTTAAGCTCCATCATAATTCATAGACCAAATTACTAAAATTTATAAATATGTATTGATTGTAAAATAGGTTTAATATTTTGAATTTTTAATTATGGACGAATCATAATCTATTTTCATCCGATCAGTATTTGATAAATTAATGGCTAAAATTCTCCTTAAATGTGGCGTAAATATACCGATTTTTTATTAGAAGCACATTTTAGATGAAATAATTATCTTTGACTTAATCAATATTTTKAAGGCAAAAAAATTACTAAATACAAAATTTCGTTTTTTGATATATATAATAGTTATTAAATATCCCGTGGATAATATATGATAAAAAAAAAAACTACGAGGTTGTGATGAAACTAGGTAGTTATTACTCTAGACTGAATATGTCGATGGATAATAATTGTTATTTATTTGATATAGAAAATGGTGTTGACATTTACTAAATGAATAAATTACAATTATATAAAATAAAAAATTATTAATAAATAAACAAATAGGTAGTGCTTTCACTGGATGGCTTCTTCCCTCACGATTTCTTGTTAAAAAAAAAAAAAAAAATATTACATCTCATATTCTTATTGTGTCCAAGGGTACAGATTGTATATTTCTTGTTAAAATTAAAAAAAAAAAA